TCAGAGTAAGGCATCATCGTTACAATACAATGCAAGCTAACGGACACATACAGGCACATACACACTCACATGCTTCGAGGTTGAAATGACTGGAACCAACAAAATCACTTTATACCCCATCAAAGAGCCCAGATATAGAGTATATATACATCTTTTTAGGGATGTGCCGGTGAGTTTTCTTGATTCGTTAGCTTGAATTTGGTTGTGACGATGATACCTTGCTCTGATGATGTTCGTCGTATGACGAACGAAAGCTTAGCCCCTTTTCACCAGAATCGAAGGATATTATCTCGGAAACAGCGTCAACATGAATGTTCCAGTAAAGTCAATCGACAGCTGATCAAGAGGAATTCGCCTTCGTCTACTGGTGAAATCGACACTCGAATATATTCACAAAACACTTTCACTCGAAATGGAAGTAAGCCTGTAAACCTAATTTCGTCTATTATAAGCGAAGGCCATAAAATTCGGACGGAGTGCCGACGAATTTAGACCCATTCAGAGTGAAGATGTGATAAAAAGAGAATCGAATGTCAATCCCAACAGGTATTTGTAAAATCAGTCGTGGAAAATCAAATAATTTAATTTTTATTTGAGGTTAAAACACACTACGCTACTCGCACTCATAGTAAGTAGGTTCAGGCACTATCATTATTTCTTGATTCGCGTGGTTGTGGGCCCATTTAGAGGCCCCCAGCAGCTTCGCTTCGAACGCCGCAAGGCTTTGTAGTTGATTTTCGTATTATGAAGTGAATAAAGGCCTAAGCTGTCGAGTTCACGATCATGCCGAGTTAACAACCATGTCGAGTTCACAACCATGCCGAGTATCGGACAGCAGGCAGCTGCATGCAAAATCCTATTTCGAGGTGGGACTATCGAAGAATAAAATTCGCATTTACTATTAAAACAAACAGTGCTACTTGTATTCATAGTAAGTAGGGTCAGACACACTATCAAGAGATTACTATGGAAAAGTCGTATGAAAAGAACTCAATGCCTCGTTGGATCGACCTGCAAATTCCCGCGATACGCAGGTTTATGGACAATGCCTGATCCTACTTATAATGAATATGAGTAGCGTAGTCTATCTTAATCATAAAATACAAGTTTGCCCCATTGGCAATCCCAACAGATGTGAATCAAGATGGTCCAGAAAAGTCCAATTATTTTCCCATACCATATTGCCATTTCATCCGGACCGGCCACCAGATACACTACCAGACGTGGGAGACGGCGTGGCAACAAAGCCCTTTGGACTCGGCCAATTTAGGAAAACGAGACAGGACGATAACAAGTGTCTGGAAAAGCGTCATCCGGAATAAGAAGGTCCGAGTTTCTATGGCTATGCGTCCGGCAAAATATACTTTTCGCGTGCTGTGCTAAAACCAGTATTCGCAGACTGGTCCCTCCGAAAGTCAAGGATGAGGGACCACTGAAGCCATGGTTTCCTGTGACTCTATTGGTCCTCCCGTGACGCAAATCACCATGTAGGGAAAATCTCGCCAAAACACAAAATCTCCGTCTTGAAGACATGTGCCCTTGGATTGTACGAAGAAAAGATGGGCTTCTGAGAAGCCCTCAGATGATTTAGTTAGCCTCAACTAGTCA